CATAAGCAAACGTTCTACGTTTAAATATTTCTACAGTAATGCTGAAAAAAGAACTTGTTAACTTGGTTAAAATTATTATACAATGCTATGCACCAGGATGGTTCAAGTTTTAAAACAAAACTTTGCTAACACTGAGAATATACTATTGGCAATGATAAATGGCACAAAAAAAAAGAAGTTAGAACTGCAGCCATTCAAAGGATACTCAAGTCCAGAAATAATAATGAACACAATAGACATTTTAAACTTCTTTTAACTAAATCTTGGAGCCAATAATTACAGTGAATTGATAAATTGGACATTAAGGATGTTAATTCACCACCTTTACTGAATGTCTTTTCAAATAAAAATATTTTGAAAGCCAATGACAGTCCATTAAGTACTTCAAAATATCCTTGTCATAGCCAAAAAATAGAAAGAATTATTAGAATAGTCACAAAGACATGATAAATTAGATATGGCTATGAAAAGCATCATAAATTTGTAATAAACTTATTGGAATCCAGAGGAAAGTTTGATTGGGAAGCACAATGGAAATAAAATGTTTGAATTTAAGATTTGAACAAAAGTAGTTCTATATATGTATATATATTTTTTTATAGTATCAAAATTTTTTTTACTCTATTTTTTCAGTTTAGCAAATTCATGTTGGTTCTTATCTTAATGAAATCATTTTGGTGCTTATCTTAAAGGAAGCATTTTTAAAATAATACTCCTTTTTTAAAACAGAATATTATTAGAGAATTTATATTATATAACTAAATTACAATAACTAAATGGTATAAAACACAATTAAGATGAAAATAATCTTAACCCCATTTTCCTCTAAAAATGCTATAAAATCAGATATTGTGTACAACCCCTACGGAGGCTATAACAGACCTCAAAATTGCTATACAACCTTTTTTATATATGTAGGAACCCTATACAATATGCTGGTTTTTAAATATATATATATATACATATATATATATGTATATATATATATATATATATATGTATATATATATATATATATATATATATATATATATATATATATATATATATTTAAAATATATTGTTTTTGTTTTTAAATATATATATATATATATATATATATATATATATATATATATATGTATATATATGTATATATATATATATATATATATATATATATATATATATATATATATATATATATATATATATATATATATATATATATATATATATATATATATATATATATATATATATATATATATATATATATTAGGGAGGGTCAAATAGCAGATATAGTAGTTCCCATTTTCCTTCAAATACAATTTTTTGATGTTTTTTGTTCTTGTTGCTATTTTAGATCTGAAAGTTTTTTTGCAACTTTGGCTGGCAGTTAAAAATATAAACAAACATTTGCATACCATGACCCAAATAGAGGGTTGTGGACACCACAACTCGCTATTTGCTTCACCTTTATTTTTTCCCCTCTTATTTTAGACTAATTTATTAAAAAAATTAAAAATATACATTGACATATCAACTCATTTAGACTAGAATCATATTTGCCAGCTCATACAAATCCGGATGCATCACCATGAATTAATATCATGTCCTGAAAAAGTTTGAAGGATAATTATTTAAGAAATAAATATTTTGGTTAATTAGTTAGCTCTCCTCTTACAGTGTATCTGGTAACATCTTTAATATTATTAAATCCTTTCTTACAAATTGTAGTATAGAAGTTCTCTTCTTTATATCCTGTAACTTCAGGGGTTCCTCATGGTTCTATCCTTGGCCTTGTACTTTTTTTAATTTACATTAAATGATCTCCCAGAAATTCTCACATCTGAGGTGGTATTGTTTGCTGATGATACTACCATTTATTTTTGTCTTGATAAGAAGCCAACACTCTCTGATTGCTTAGAGGGGGCATTTTGAGCTTGAAAAGGGTTTCACTTCTGCTACAGCATGGGGCTCCCAGTGGCTAGTGAACTTTAACTCGGGTAAAAAATTTTCAAGGCTAATCATTATCTCAATAGTCTAGATCTTCATATATTTATGAACAGTAATGTACTCATTTTTTCTCTTCTAGTAACTTCCAACTCTAATAGTGGTTGCTTGCAGCCTTGTTGGAAGAGAAGATGTTTTAAAAAAAAAGTTATATTAACTGTATTTTTTGGTTAGTAATATTCATTTTAAACAATACATATAAACTTTGATGTCAGTGTATAACTTTCTGTTAAATTGTCAGTATAACTTTACATAAACTTTTTGTCAGTGTCTGTCAAATTCTCATCATATTTTGTTATCTTATCTTCTAATTAGAATTTTAGAATTATTAGCATCTTTGTTGATGTTATTTTTCATTTTCAGATTGTTAGCATCTTTGTTGATGTGTTTTTTTTTTTTTTTTTCATTTTAGAATTATTAGCATCTTTGTTGCTGTTATTTTTCGTTTTAGGGTTATTAGTTGCTTTTTTTATTTTAAAAGCTTAGGTGTAAGAAAGTTGCAACT